TATATATATATATATATATATATATATCAAATAATAACTTCCAACTAATTTAAATTGTCTTAATTAACAATACAATAACATATGCTCCAATGGTTATTTAATATAATGTCAAACATATACATTTGAATTAAACAATTAATTTAATGATATTCTTTTTTTTTTCTCATTTAACGATAATAATTTAAAAAACAATTTGAGTAAATTAATCTTATTTACTCATTGATCTCAGTTTAGCGGTGTTCTACTTTTTCTCAACAACATTAATCACTTTTCACATTTAGAGTACTATAAATATGAAAAAGAAAATTAAATTACTTATTTTTTAAGATAATAAATATTATTTTTAATAAATATGAAAATAAATGAACACAAAGTAATAGACAATTTTTTTATTTCACTTTATTTGAAAATCAACATCTGATTATGAAAATTACAAATATAACTTAAAGCTGTATTTGAAATTTGAAAAACATTCAAAACCTTGTTAATACTTTAATTATATTATTATTTTTCAAATTTTATCCTAAATTATTTATTCTTATAAAAATGACACATCTGAATTATTTTTATTTTTCTTTTATTTTTTTTTGAAAAAAAACACATTCAAATAATCAAATATTATTTACAAAATGAATAACTTAACACAAATTTCAAATTCAAATTTTTTAAATAAAGTAATTATTTTTGTAATATTATGTTGTATTTATTATATGAGATCTAATCTATGACATTATACGACTATCTATTTTGAGATATTATTGTTTTAGTGCAATTTGATTGTATATCTCAGGTAAATTAGTCAAGTAATTTTTAGAAAATGAGGAATATAAACCATATTTAGAAAGACATAATATATAAATATGTCTTTTAGCTTGATCTCGTCTGATATCTATGACATTCAACTCGGGGTGTGCACAAGTAAACACTCAAACGTATATAAAGTTGAACAAGTAGACACACACGTCATACGAAGCATAATGCACATAGGACGCCACATAGAATGTCGCATAGGAAGTGAATTATATTGTCACGTAGGATGTCAAGTAGAACACACATGTAAATTAGAGGATGTAGATGTCAGGCGAAACCAATTTAAATGACATATTTATGTATTATGCCATTAGAAAAATTATATTTAATATCTAAAAAATTTCATAAAATTTGA